CCATATATATATATATATATATATATATATATATATAATATACGTTCTTGTCAATAAAATCTAAATCTAGAATCTTTTATCGTCTTTAATGATCGCTCTTATAGCGAGATTACATGATTTAATGATGCAAGGTTATTCTTGAAGTAACTGTTATTTCGAAGAAATGATGAGTGGGGATATTTAATCATCTCTATTTGTATGAGCACTTTAGCTCATATCCAGTCACTTAGTCAGTATCTATGACTTCAAGAACGTGTATGTGATACTTAATCCTTTCACTTTCCGTGTTCGTTTACGGCATAATATTTGTCTATAACTTTTGATTCAATCATTATCTCACTTGTGCATATTGAAAACTATTTTTTATTTATAATTATTATAATTTTTATAATAATTTATAGAAAAAATATAATTTTAATGATATTTTATTTCAAAATTATACTTAAAAAATTATTAAAATTTATAAATAATAATATAAATTTATATTATATTAATTTTAATATTTAAATTTATTATATTAATTTTTTTAAATTGTAAATTTTAATATTTTATTATGTAAGTGTATCCCTTTTAAGTGTAAATATAATTTGGAAAATTATTTTTATATTTGCTATTTGCTATTTTTCAAATTTGATCGAATTTTTCATTTTAATTACATTAAACTTTATGAAAAAATGTGTAAACTTATAATTATTTATGTTAATAATAATTTAATAATAAAAAAGATTTTAACATTTAATAATGATTTAATATTAAACTAATGAAAAGTTAAATTAAAATTAAATTTTCATAATTAAATTTTATATAATAATTTGAAATTATTTTCAGAATATTCATTATGAATAGAATAATTATATTACTACTTGGAATTTTAATTGTCGAGTCTGTCACTGAGAGCGAGAAGGTAAGTTTACGAAAATACAATATCTGTTAATATTTAAATTTTTGTCCGATATCAATATTTGAAAATTGCTATTGATCTATAGTTTTTGTATTGAGTATCGATATCATTCATAATTGAATCTTTAATAATAAACTTCAAATTTTAAATTTATATACAATAATAAATAACTTACTTACAAACCGTAATAATATAAATATTTATTATCATAAAAATAGGAAAAAACTGTAAAAGTCAATTTGATACCTCATAATGCCCAAATAAGAAATGTAACGGGTAAATTAATTATTGTTCAAAATGATGATAATTCTGTTAATATTACTGGAAAAATAAGTGGACTTACAGAAGGGTTACATGGTTTCCATGTACATGAAAAAGGAGATTTACGAAATGGTTGCACATCTACCGGTCCACATTTTAATCCTGAGAATGTAAATTATACATATAAAACTATTATATATAATATTCAATCAATTCTCGATACATTAAATCAAATTATAAATTAAACTTATTTAATATATATTATTTCATATATACATTTTAGGTTACCCATGGTGGACAAGATAGTCCAATAAGACATGTTGGCGATTTAGGTAATATTCAAGCAAACGCTAAAGGTGAAGCAGATGTACACATCAAAGATTTCATTATTTCTTTGACTGGAAAGAATAGTATTCTTGGACGTGCAATAGTTGTTCATTCTGGTGAAGATGATTTAGGAAAAGGGAACAGTAGTCTTTCTACAAGCACCGGAAACTCGGGAGATCGTTGGGCTTGTGGTATTATCGAAGCTATCTAGATTTCTCTGAATTTATTTGATTCTATATTTAAAATTTAGAATTTAGGATAAAGATTTTCAAATGATAATCTTGTAGTTTTTCATAAATAAAATGAAATATAAAATTTAAAATAAAAATAAACTTTTTGTTATAATAAATATTTAATTTACATAAAAAAATTAATTAACAAATTCAAAAATTTTTGAAATTTATTATAAACATAAATCTTATTATTCAAAATCTAGTGAACTATTTATAGAATTTTATTAAAATCCATTCGTTTATTCGGATATATATTTTTTTTTGAATTGTAACAATATATTTTTTGACTGAAAATATGATTAAATTTGATATACATACTTCATTTTCATATTCTATTTTTTGATTTTTAATATTTCCGATTATATTTTCACTTATGAGCTTAGAACTTGGTCATCGATAAAACATAGAAGTAAAAGAAGATAGATATTCCACTCTCTTGTTCATTGACAACACGTGATGTTATATATAATCAATATGACACTATAATTATATATAATTATATGTTACATATAATAAATAAAAAATAGAAATGTGATATTTTTAGTTAAAGACATTTTTATTTTATGATTAAATTTTATGATTATATCCATCAGAAATAATCAATTAAATTTAACATTTTAAATCTAATTCTTTTAAGATTATTTCAAATATATTTTATATTTTAATTTCTAAATATACAAAATATTTAAAAAGATAAAAAAGACAATTTAAAAAGAAATAGAATTAAATTTGTTAATTCATTTAATTCATATTTCGCTAATTTTTATGTCTATTTCTAATCAAAATGAAAGATATTACGATACATAGGATGTTAATAAATAAATTTGTGGGATAATTTTAAAAACTTGATTCTAAAACAAACACAAAAGTTATTATACAAAAATATTGATTGAATTTAAGTTATAAACAATTTAAATTTGCGTTAAAGGAAGAGAAACGAAAAAGGAATAATAATATCTCATTCGATTTGCGTCTTACTTTACCTAACGCAAACTAATATGTACAAACCTGAACAACTGACGATTCATAAGCAATAGTGTGATTCATTTTCTCACTTCCATTATATCCAAGTCCATTATAATCCTTAGAGTATGAAAAAAAGATAGAAAGAAGACTAAGAATATATATAATTACATAATAGTAACATAAAGCAAAACACAATAGAAAAATTTTATTAATAATGAAAAAATCGGCGCAATAGTAGTAGTAAAGCAACAACGAAAATATTGTCTAAACCTTATAACTTAATAAATAATTTAATCTTAAACTTTTAATCTTAAACTTTAAACTTTTATATATTAATTTTTGTGTTTGTTTATCTCTAAAATCGAAGTTTTAAAAATATTTCATGAACATATTTATACAGATACGCAACATTTTAAAATAAACTTTTGTAATAAATTATATTACGATTATTTTATTTTTTTTTTTTACATTTTTTTTAATATTTTTCAATATTTAAAAAATTTTTTTATATAATATCCTGATATTAATGTGCAAAAATGGAACAATTGTAATACAATTTAATATTTTTGGTTATCAAATAAATTTTATCATTGGTCATTATTAGAAATTAAGATTTTTTTACAAAAATAAGAATTTTTAATCTCATTAACATTTTTAATTATAAATACATAAATAACAAAATAAAAAAATTTTTTTCAATTATTAGAGATTTAAATCTTAAAATTTCATGTACAATTTTGTCAGTGTTCTTTTTCATATTTTAAAAATGAAAGTAATATATTTATGTTGCAAAAATTTTGAGAGCGAAAAATCAAAAATTTAAATTATTCTTATGTTATGTTTCTTATGTTTATGTTTCAACATTACCGATTGAATTCAAAGTAAGACGAATTCAATTCAAATGTAAAATACGAACGATATATATAATCAATTTAAAAAGATTGAAAAATAGATCACAATAATTTATAATATAATAATTTACAATTATTATTATATTCATAGTTATATTCATTAATATAATTAAAGTTTTAAGAAATTTTGCAATATATTAAAAATATGGATATATTCATTTGTAACAAGTGTTTTGCAACAACAAGTAGAGGAAAAAAACCATTTTGTTTAACTCAGTGCGGTCATATATATTGTCATGGATGCATACACCAAGGTAATAATAAACAAAATTAAATAAATAAAATAAAATTATTAATAAATATTGTTTATATCATTTATAACTCCTATAAAAATAAATTTTTTTCTTTTATAAGCTGAAAAACAATGTCCTCAATGTGAACAGATCGATATTTTTTCCGTTGAATTACAACAACCATCATTATCAAAAGTAGAAAATTTCTTTGTTCCACTCAGTGAATCATTGGAATCATTACATAAAATATGTGGTTTTCAAAATAATCAAATGAAAATCATGATGCAACGCTTTTTATGAAATTGTGTAGTTTCTGTTTTCTTTCTGTTTTATTCTTCTTAATATTTATATATTAATTAAAAAAGAATATAATTAATTTATAATTAATAATTTAATAATAATTTATAAATTTAAGGATCAAAAATACGAAACATTGAAATCACATTATCATAACCTTACCCAACACATAAACATAATTAGGGATAAATATGTAAAATTAAAAATGGAATATACCGAACAAAAAAAGAAATTGATGTCATTCGAAATGCAAAATGAAACATCAAACTTTTTAAATAATACAACTACACCAATGAAATCTAATCAAAGAAATTCAACAATAAGGTATAAATTAAAAATTAAAAAAACTGAAAAATATATTTTAAAAAATAAAAGAAAAGATATGACTTATAAAACATTTTTATTAATAGAACTGGATCGAATTCATATTTTTCATCTTATAGAACAAATATGTCAAGTCAATCATTTAATATAAAAAAAGAAAAAGCACTTTTAGAAGGTTTTCGTATTCCTCATCATCAAACAGTACGATCAATTGGTTCACGTAAAACTTCAGGATCAGATACAAATTCTATTTTTTTTATTAAATAGATATTTATAAAACATTTTATTAATGAATATAATAACATTAAAATTATTTTATCATAGAAATCTTTAAAATTAAAAATACAGCAAAAATGAATTTTAAAAAATAAAAGTTTAATTTTTTTAATTTTTGTACACAATTAAGAATTAGTAGGTTAACAGATGTAGATTTTTATTTAAATTTATATAAAATTAATCTTTAAGTAATTAGTTAAATAATTAATTATTTATAGATTAAAATATAGGAATATAAATTATTTCTATAAAAAAATTGTAATAATTATTTGATAATAAAGAAAAGTCAATAAATTAAATTATACGTTATTTAAATAGAAAATAAGTAGTTTAGAATTACAATAATATTTTTTTTAAATAACATAAAAACATATAATATAATTTAATATATAAAATATAAAATATATTATATTTCATATAATTTTTTGATAAATATAATAATAATAATAATATTAAAATATTGTTTCAACATTAATGAATATTTATTTATTTTAATGAACTATTAATGAACTATTGTGTATATTAGGTTAAATATGCTCTTATATATGTACGTGAAAATCGTATTTTAAATTAAAAATAAAGTTATCAAAACATCATGACAACGCATAGTAAATCATTAAATATGAAATGTATTTTCGTTACATCATTAATAGTAAGTAATAAAATATTATTTAATAGTAAGTATTAAAATATAATATATGTAAAATTTCTTTGCAAATTTTAATTATAGAAAGATAAATTCCTATATTTCACTGATTTATATTTTATAAAAATCAGAAATATTCTCGAAATAAATTATATATACTTTAAAATTCAAAATTGCGATTATTATTTTTAAATTTAATATTGATTTCAATAGGCAGGAGGATTGGCTGGCACAATAGTTGATGTAATATTATTTCCATTAGATACATTAAAAACGCGATTACAATCTAAACAAGGATTTATAAAATCAGGAGGATTTTCTAATCTTTATAAAGGAATTCTTCCTGTAACAATTGGTTCTGCACCAAGCGGTAAATAATTATTATAAAATAAAATCACTTAAAGTATGTATAATTATTTAAATTTATAATCTAATTATAGATTTATTTTATATATATTTAACTAAAAATTACTAAATCTATAAATCTAATGTATAATATATGATTATTTAAATCGTCTTACTTTTTTTAGCTTCTTTATTTTTTGTAACATATGAAAGTATTAAAAGTATAGCACAATATAAAATACCTAAAAAATATGATTCTTTTCTTCATATGGGCTCAGCATCTTTAGCAGAAATGGTAAATTTTAGTGATTAATTTAAAAAAAAAAAGAATTAAAATTATATTGAAAATTAAATCATAATCACAAAAACTTATTAAATATTTATACATAATCATTAAAATTTAAATTCAGGTAGCTTGTTTAATAAGAGTACCTGTAGAAGTAATAAAACAAAAAAAACAGGTTTCAATGTTAGATAGAAAAGATATTAATCTTAAAATGTTGTATTGTGGTTATTGGAGCACTGTGTTAAGAGATATGCCTTTTAGTTTAATACAATTTCCAATATGGGAATATTTAAAAAAAATTTGGAGTTTACATGTTGATAGAGAAATTTTTCCAATAGAAAGTGCTACATGTGGAGCAATTGCAGGTTTAAAACTTTATTATTTTAGTAGAGTCCTATCTAATATATAATTAGTTTTATAATATATATTATAATATATAATATATATTATAATATCTAGGTGGTATTTCTGCAACTGCTACTACACCATTTGATGTTATAAAGACAAGAATAATGCTTTCAAATAAAAATGAAAAAACTTCAAAGTTAAAAATATTATATATATTTAAAGATATATATAAAAATAAAGGTTTACAAGGGTAAGTTTTGGAATTTAATTTATAATTCTTTAAATTTTGTATAATTTAATTTTAAAATTTCAAAATTTTATAGACTTTTTGCAGGTTTGGGTCCTAGAATAATTTGGATAACATTAGGAGGGTTTATCTTCTTTGGAATATATGAAGAAATAAAGATTACAGGAATAAATTATTGTTTATTTGAATCCATTGTTTGAAAGAAAAATATTAAATATTAATATCTTTAAATTTTATTTAAAATTATATATATAATATTTTACAAATTTAATTTTCTTTTATTTATTGTTAAAAATCAATAAAAATATACAAAATATTGTAAGAATATATAAAAATATATTAATCTTCAAAAATTATGTACACAATAAAAATTGAATAATTGCACAAGATTATTGAATTTCATAAAATTGAGACATTATAAAATAAATATATTTATTTTATGTCTTAGTTCTTGTTTTCTTTCATTTATTACTATTTTCTATGCGCGATGAAATACAAAAAATTTCGAAATGGATCGAATTATATTGAAATCAAGAATCAATTCTAGTATTCCAGATTGAAATCTGATTTATATGCATTTATCCAATTTATTGTAATTTTATTATATTCTATTTTATAATATATTATATTATTTTATATATTATATATTTTATATAATTATTTTTTATATATATGTTTAACTCTTTGCATTCCGGGCCTTTTTCGCTCGGACGAACCAATAACTCCAGATGATTTCCCGCACCCGTTTAGTGAATTTCTTAGCTAACTTAAAATGATTTCACACACAAATTAACATATATAAAATTAAATATAAAACTTTTATATTTTAATATTTTATCTATCTACATATAAAGGAAGATAATTTATTGAATATTAAATTGTTGAATATTAAAAGTCTATGTTGTGTGATATTTTAATAATAAAATAATTACTAAGAAGTATCCTCAGTTTGTCAAGGCAAATATCACAATAAAATATCATTGCAAACTTTATAATCCCAATAATATACTCTCATTTATTGTCTATTATTTTTATTTTTCATTTTCTTATATTATATCTCTATTTTTATCATTATTTTCCTTCTCTCTATTATCAATTTCTTAATTTTTAAATCATGTTTAAAAAACTCAGAAACTTTGAAAATAATATTTCTATCGCCACGACTGTCAAACTCGGACTAACTCGTATATGTAATTGGATCTGTGATCACGGTCTAATTTTAGATAAAAAAATCTAACTATTTGATATTAGTATATTATTCTACACTTTATAAAATTATATTTAAAAAGCTTAGGAATCTATTTATGAAGCGATATTTTAAAAAAATCAAACATAAATAAATATTGTCGCTATTCGAATTGCTGCATCAATCCAAGTGATGCCGGAGAGTCACCTCTAGAATTATCGCATTATAGCGAGTGATACTTGAGAGCGCTTTGCGACCGTTGGAGTGCAAAGAGTTAATTTTAAAAAAAGTAACAATATATTTAATATGAAAAGAATATTTTCATCTTAATTTAAGATATACTTCTTAAAAAGAGAAAACATTTAATTTTTATAATTTAGATTTTAAATGTTGCATCAATTTTTCTAATTTCATTGCTTTTTGAAGATTTCCATTAATTTTCAGTTTTCCCATTACAAATGCTGATGCAGGTTTTAATTTTCCTAAAATTAATTTAATAAAAAAATAATTTGTTATTGGAAAAAGCTCTTAAATTATTTTTTAACATTAAATTAAATATATATTTAATTAAAGTTATGTTTACCAGAAAACATAGCAAAAAAATTTTCAGAATCCATTGTCAGAGTAACATCTGGTGGTTGATTAGGTTTTCCTTTACCTGCTACACCATCTCCAGTTTTAAGATCCAAAAACCATGTACCTGCTTCATTACCTATTAAACTATATCAATTAATATTTCTAAAACAAACAAAAAAAAAATAATATTTAATCTGGCAAGTACCTTTAACATTAAATTGAAATATGGCTCCAGTTTTATTAACAAGTTCATGATTCAAGTTAGCCTGAATAACAGTAAATATTTGTGCTATTTTTTCATTTGATTTATTATTTATATAATATATATCTTCTTGAAAGTTTTTATGTAATAAATCTATTTTATCTAAAGTTTCATCTATAAATAAATCCAACATCAATTTATCTTTATTTTCTAAAAAAAAAAAATAAGAAAAAATAAATAATTATCATTAATTCTTTTTATAAAATATTAATTACATATTATTATAAAATTATTATTGCATTTAATATACCTGGATTATACGCATAATTTGTGAAATCTGTAATCCCTTCATTTCTTAATATTTCCTCATCAATTAAAAATTTTCCAGTAATAGATTTACTATCTTTGCAAATTAAAGCATACACAGCATCTGCCATAATTTCTGGTTTACGAGCATAATCATTTGATTCGATAGATAACATTTCAAGTGCAGCAGTAGCAATAGCTAAAAAATAATAAATTTAAATTTATAGCAATAAATAAAGATTTCAAACAAATATTTTTTTAAATAATTAATAAAATAAAATAGAATAAAAATAATAAAATTAAAAAAATAATTTACCAGTTTTTGGCCAAACAGTATTTACAGCAATACCATCATTTTTAAATTCCTCAGCCATTCCAAGAGCACACATTGACATTCCATATTTAGATATTGTATATGCAACATGATTTTTAAACCATATTGGATTCATATATAATGGTGGGCTAATGTTTACTATATGAGGATTTGAGCTTTTTTTTAAATAAGGTAGGCATGCCTTAGATCTAAAATAAATATCATAATAATATTATCATTTATGATTTGTAATTCTCAGAAAATTTTTATACTTACACTAGAAATGTTCCTCTAGTGTTGATATTATTCATAAGATCATATTTTTTCATTTCTATGGATAATGTATCTATTAAATGAATTGCACTTGCATTATTAATAACAATATCAATACCACCAAATTTATTAACAGTATTTTCCACTGCAGAAATTATATTTTCTTCATATCTTACATCTACTACACAAGGTAATACTTTTCCACCCATTTCTTCAACTAGAGAAAGAAATATTTTTAATAAAAAAAATTATTTATTGTTTAAAATTTAAGATAAATAATTTTTAATTACACATATAATTACTTTCTTTAGCAGCAGTATATATAGTGCCTGATAATTTTGGATGTGATTTTGCAGTTTTAGCTGCAATGACAATATTTGCTCCATCTTTTGCAGCTTTCAAAGCAATAGATTTCCCAATTCCTCTTGAAGCTCCAGTAATGAAAATTGTACGACCAGCAAGTTTTCTATATTAAATACATTATTATAAAGTCATATATAGTCATCAACATAGCTGATTAAAAAATTTATTAATATTTATTAATAATGATTATATATTTATATATATTTATTTATAATTAATTGTTATATATAAAATTTAATAAATTAATTTTAACAATTCCATATATATATATTTTTTACAAATTTAATCAATTTTCTAAGCAATCAATATGCGCAATCTTAAAAAATCTTATATTTTTAAACGATTGTTAAATTTATGATACAAACCCTGTATTTATCATATTTCAAATATGTAAATTGAGGAATTATTATAAATCTAATAATTGTTAGATTTATTTTAAATAAAAAATATTAAAACAAATAGTATTTATGCTTTAAATGATAATTTCGCTTAATAACAAATTCGCTTGTTCGCTTAATAAATTAATATTTAATTCTTGAATTTAAATTATTGTTACTTGTCAGATTATTTTTAACAATATGGCGAAAATTCAGCGTAGAAAAATAAAGCATAGTTAAAGCATAGTTAAATGTATGTTTACTTTATAAATTTTATTTCGCTTTTAACTGCATGTATATTAAAACATATAAATGCAAAAAAATTTTTGAAATATTTGTGAAAATGCTAAAAATTATTTCATAAGTTTAAAAATATTATTTCATAAGTTTTTATGTGAACATCTAGATTTTATAAAATTCTTTTATATTATATATATATTGTATAATTATATATATATATATAATTATATTTAAATAAAATAAAAGTAAAGTATAAATAAAATCTTATTATATAAGTATTACATCAATGTTTTTGATATAATACTTATGTAATACTTATAAATTTGAAAAAATTTATGTTATGTAATTAATATAGTTATTCAATAATTTTATCGCTATTTTATCGCTTAGTCATTGATTACTGTTATTGGAAATTAATAAGAAATCTAAGAAATGTTTCTTATATTCATTAAAAAATGAAGTTTTATGATATTATATGTTATTATAACTTTCTATTATAAAATATTTATTAATTATTTATTTATAGCATAATTATACATCGAGGTTATGTTTATATCGATACAACAATGTGCGGAATATTCTGTAACATTTCACGAAATCATGCAAAAGTTTCACATGAGGTATTATTATAATGCATGAATATAAATTCTTATCAATTATTATTATAATATCTTATCAATTATAAAATCATTTAATTGTTTTTGTTTCAGTGGGAAGCTTGTAAAAATTTATTAAATGCTCGTGGTCCTGATAGAATAATTGAAAAAGCTGAAAATTTAACGCCCAATTGGTTTGGACACTTTGTTGCTTCTATATTATGGATGCAAGGTTCTAATTTGATTGAACAACCTGCCATAGATTGTAATGGTAATATTCTTCTTTGGAATGGAGATATATTTTTTGGAAACTTGGTAAATATTATATATTATGCAATTACTAATTACTGTAATTATTTAATGCATTCGCATTGAATGATCATATTCATTTTAGGCTCAAGATAATACATGTGACACTAATATATTACTAAATACTTTACAATTATCTTCAAATATATTATCAGTATTTAAAGAAATCCAAGGTCCATATAGTTTTATATATTTTCAGAAAACCAATAATCTTTTATATTTTGGAAGAGATATTATAGGAAGACACAGTTTACTTTTAAAAGTAAACACTGATGAAAATATTTTAACTTTGACATCTGTTGCTAGTAAACAGATAAATAAAATTATAGAGATTCCTGCAATTGGAATTTTTGTTATGAATTTAACTAATTTAAGAGTAAATCTTGCATGTTATCCATGGAAGAACCAGATTTACGATTTACAGATATTATTGAAACATTAGAAACACATTTGGGTGTAGACATTGATATTAAAAAAACTATACTAAAATCAGATGGATTGACATGTCTACATTTACATCCTCATATTAAAGATTTGGAATATTTAGAAAATAGCCCTTATTTAGAGAATTTTTGTAAAATATTAGAATATTTATTAAAAAATGAAGATATTCATAAAAGAGTTGAGCATTTATTGCAACTTCTTTACAAAGCTGTAGAAGTTAGAATAAAAAAACAGCCAAAATTTTGTAAAACATGTATTAAATTAGTTTTAAACAAAGAAAATATTATATGCAATCATTCAAAAATAGGTATACTATTTTCTGGAGGCTTGGATTCTGCTATTTTAACATTAATTGCTGATAAATACATATCGCAAAATGAACCTATTGATTTAATTAATGTTGCATTCGAAAAATTGATTAATACTTCTAAAACATCTAACAATGGAAATAATGAAAAAAAAGATATGGAGAACCAATATGATGTTCCAGATAGAAAAACTGGAAAACAAACATTTTTAGAACTTACAAAAATTTGCCCAAAACGAAAATGGAATTTTATAGAAGTATATATATATATATATGTATACATATAAAACAAAATATATTTTTATAAAAATTTTTTATGTATGAAAAATATTTCGATAATTAATGTAATAATACTTTTAGGTAAATGTCAGCCAGGCAGAATTACAAAAGTATCGTTCATCGCATATTTGTAATTTATTATATCCACTATGTACTATATTGGATGAAAGTTTAGGTTGTGCTGTTTGGTTTGCAAGTCGCGCAAAAGGTATAATCCATTCGGGTACTGATATTTATGAATCCCCATGTAGAGTACTTCTCTTAGGTATGGGTGCAGATGAATTATTCGGTGGATATATGAGACACAGAACAATATTAAGACATAAAGGTTGGGATGCTTTAACTCAAGAATTAAATATTGAGTTAGCTAGAATTTCCGAAAGAAATTTAGGTCGTGATGATCGTATTGTATCAGATCATGGAAGACAATCTAGGTTACCATATTTAGATGAAAATATAGTAGAATATGTTCAAAAATTAAAACCTTGGGAAAGGTAAATTGATTAAATAAAATGATAACAATACAAAGTAAAATTAAATTATTATTTAATTTTAGATGTTATCCAACAGATAAAATGCCATCAGGCTTAGGAGACAAATTACTTTTACGTTTGGTAGCATATAAACTTGGTTTCCGAAACACTGCTAATTTTCCTAAGAGAGCTTTCCAATTTGGATCTCGAATTGCTAATGGCAAGGAAAATGCTAAAGATATATCATATCGTTTATAAAATAATGGTATATATAATTTTATTTTAATATAATTAAATACAATTTTAAATAGCAAATTATATAAAATTATTTAAAATATTTTAGATATTATTTAACATGAAATGAATATTAAAAGATTTATACTCTAATATTATTAAAACTGAAATTATTAATATATAATTATCATTGAATACTTGTATGAGTATTCAAAAAATAGAATAGGAGAAACCAAGAAAACAAAAATACATGGGTTTTATATGTTTTATACTCTATTATATGTATTGTTAAGTATCTCATGTTTTATTTCTAATTTTATGTGAGATAATTAACAAATAATTACATATTTTATTTAGGTTTTTATATATATATATAAAATAATATATATATATTTTTAATATAATTTTTAATATAATATATTTTTCAATTATATTTTTTTGAATTTAAAATTTACTATAAAATTATATGCATTTTTAACAAATTTGATATTTTATATTATATGTTTTATATTATATTGTATATATGTTAGAACTTTTGTATTTTTTATGTTTAAATTTAACATATATTTATATTTTATAAAAATACTATTTTTTTAATAAATTTTTTATACTGATTTTTTTATAAAATAAAATATATCAATAATAAATTTTCTATTCAATATTTAATATATTCATTTTCTTATAAAAAATGTCCTTTAATTATAGTATAAATCTGTTTCACTGATGAATTCAAAATATATGAAAACATTAAAAAAAGTTATATAAACATATGACTTATTTAATCATATTTTCAATTTATAATAAATTTTATCTTAAAATAATTTTACCGAAAGATGGAAATAATTAATTTTATCTATTTGTTAATAAAACTGCGATAGCAGGACTTTAAACGAACTCTAGAACAAGATTTGCTTCAAAACTAATTCAAATAAATATTTCAGTCTAACTAATTTTGATTTAAAAGTAATAAAAAAAGAAAAAATTAATTAAGAAAAAAATAATACGACAGAATTACTGTTAAGTATGTGATATTAAATGTCATAACTTTCATTATCATTATATATCAAATTCAATACCAAATAATGATAACAAAAATTATGCTATTTAATATCGAAATGATTATAAAAATCATAATTTATTATCGAAAATAGTATGACTTGAAAATAATAATTCTAGAATTATAATGCATAGAAATATGACACTAATCCAACATGAAATTAATTACCGTGAGAAAATAATTAAAATTTCAAATAATTGTTTTAAATGATAATTTTATTTAAAATGTTAGAATAATATTTATCATTTATTCATAGCTATTATAATTGATCCATTTTTTATATTCTTTGTATATTATATTTCTTTATATAATTATTTGGCATGATTATTCGTGAATATTTAATGTTTTGAATAATAAATTATTGAAAAATTAAAGTAATTTTATTTTTAATTTCAATCGTCAAAATTTTATCCATCTCTGGTGTAAAAAGTAGAAAATAATAAAAGGAAACAAATTGTAAAAATTTGATAGGATTTATATACAATATTTATATTGTTTTTTCATACAACATGATGACATGATACTATCTATTTGCTATTTCATAGTATGGCATGATACGTCTTTTTATCAAGTAGATGGCATTATTAAAATTTTTTAATTTGTTTCCCTTCTATAACTGTCAAACTCTATGTGCATAGTCCTTTAATAATATTGCTGATTTTATTCCTTGCGGTTTTCTTATTGCTATTTTATTACATTAATAGTTGTTTTGTTTTAGTATCTAACAATTCTTAACGAAAAAGTTTGTACGGAAAGATTTTGAACAATTTGTATATATTTATTTCATTTATTATGTTACTTAAACCATATTTTATATATATATATATACATATCATATAATTATATATATATATATATGATATATTTAAATATCATTGTTTTAATATTAATTAATATTGTTTTAATTTTTAATTTATCCAATTTCTATTAATAGTGATTATAAATAATGCGCAATATTTGTAAATTCAATATTAATTATTAAAAAAACAATGAGGAATAATATGAATTCGAATTTATTATTTATTTAATATATTATATATTATATAATTTATATAATTATATGATTAAACGTATTTGAAAATATAAAATTAATAATATTGGAAAGTTAAAATTTATTTTCTTAGTTTATTGCACAAATAATATACATTTATTATTTTATTATTATTAATTTTTATTTATATTTTATAAAAATATTTAATATGATTTTTTATGAAAATAGTATGATGTCACAAAGTACAATTTACTTAGACACAGAATTACGAAAAATAAGACCAGCAGAATTATATATACTTTCACAAATATTAAATATATCAGATTCATGGAAAAAATTAATGGCAATTATACCAAAAGATGACATGTCTAATCTTCCAAAATTTAATTCTGAACATTTTAGGTATAATATTTTATTGTGTATAATAATTATATATATAATTATATATAATTAGTAAATTTATATTCATTTATTATTATTTAAATTTGCAGTATGATTGAACAAGCTGCAAATCATCAAAGAAGTGCAGCAGAAATATTTTTATCAGAATGGGGCACAATGGGTAAAAAAAAGACCAACATTAAGTGTTTTATTGAATTTTTTAATAAAAGCAGAATTATTTAGAGCAGCTGATTATGTAGCTAAAGATTTATTAAATGGTACAATGAAAAAAAATATTGTTATAAGTAATTATATTATTATAATCTAATTAAATAACTTTTTTCTTTTGATAGTAAAAGTTCCTGAACGACCAAAATATGGACCAGCAACACCTATAGATATTTCGGAAGAAATGAAATTATTAGAAGAAAAAGAGAAACTTGAAAATCTTAATTTCAATGAATCTTTGATATTTAAATTACCTTCTCAAGATGTTAATAATAAAACAATTAATTCTAAAGCAATGAATGACAGTTCTTTGGAAAGAAATATACAATTAACAAAATTGATTTCTTCAAAAGAAAAATATAATGATGAACAGTTAAAAAATAAAAAAACATTAAATACACAAATGTTTGATTTAATGAAATTTAGTCTTGAACAAAATAAAGAGGAATGTAAAAAGCAAGAACAAATATTTAAACAAAAAGAAATGTTGTCTCATGAGCTACCTGTGTTTTTAAATGAATTTAAACAAACTATAGAACAAACGAAATTATATCAAGAAGTATTATCAGAGGAACTTCCAATTTTTGTGAAGAATAGTACAATTGCATTAAATCAAAATTTATCAAATTACCATATAGATAATTCGATGAATTTATCCAATCTGAATATTAATAAAAATGAAATAATTACCACTGAATTACCTCAATGTGTTGTTGAATTTCGTGTAAATAATGAATTTAATTCAAATAATAAGAACAATTGAGTTTGCAAAAATTACAATTATATTCTATTGAATAATATTATAAATCATACATCATTAAATGATAACAATATAATATGAAGATGATAAGTATAGACATACTTTTAAAATATAAGAAATAATATATTTTTTAAAGGAACATAGTATATATTTTATATACGTTTAAAAAAATTTTAACTTAAGTAAATAAAATATTTTTAATATAAAATATTATATATATAATTATAAATTAACTTAATCTATAATAATATATAATATATAATCTAAAATAACTTAATCTACAATATATACAAATAAATATATTTTCTTTATATATAATATAATTTATCTTTATATAAATATATTGAAAACCATATATATTTTTTCATATTAATATGCACACAACATAATAATAATTTAATATTAAATATATATATTATAAAATATTATGTAATTAAATTCGAAAATGCAAAGATATCTTAAAGTATACATCATATTGTGCAATATATGAAATGGACTTACTGATATATAAAACTTGCAATACAATAGAAAGATTGATTAAGTCTTATTTAAAATTGATAAGAAATATAAGATTATCTAATAAAAAATGAAGATATGTCTATATTTTATCCATCGCTATTATTACTTTGCTTCATTGTGAAATAAGCGCTTTGAAGTTCTTTGAGATTGTTTTCTAATGTTGCAACCTCATCATATCTGCAATCAGCTCTAGCTTGTTTAATGTATGCACGTAAATTACTCATTTGCTCAATTATTGGATCCATAGAAGAAGGCATTATAGGAGTAACACTAGAAGGACCCCATCCTTGTGATTGATTTAATACTATATTCGGCTGTAAAATTGATAAAATTAAATTAAATATAGAAATTTACTTCTTTCTTTTTTTACATATTTAGAAAATTAATGTCACCTGATTTTCTTTCACAATTGGTCGAATTTCAAGATTCCATGTTTCTTTTTTTCGTTGCTCTTTGGATTTTTCTCTTTGTTCTTCTTCCAATTGTCTTTCATATGCAATTCTAGCTTCTAAACGTTTTTGTCGTTCCTTTTGTAATTCCGCATATTTCTCTTTTGAAGGTAATGCTTGCACAGTCAATAATTCTTCTTTTAAAAAAATCACTGCTGATACTCTAACCATGTGATGTAATCGAAGTTCTTGATCTTGTGGAGGGTTTTCCACACATCTCGTTCCGAGTACTGAAATTCTTTTGCTAATTAAATCTATACTCTCGCCTAATTTTGCAATCTTAATTCTTAAAGCTTGTGCATCTTCTAAATTATATGTAGATTCTCCCTCACTGAAAAACATATCTCTTAACTTCGTACGAGTAATTTTGAGCTAGGAATAATATAAAATTGTAAGCAAATATTACAGTATTACAAATATCCATTTTATAATAATTAGATCACGTACTTTAAAGATTCCCACATTTTGTTGTACATTTTTACATATTGTGAAGCTTCTTTCATATATGCTCTCATTTTTTCATAAAATTGGCATACTATTGGTTTATCAAAATGTTTTGCTTTTTGTTTTTCTCTTGCATCAAGTAAATTTGCACAGTGGGTACAAATTCTAAATTGCTGCTCGCTGCCTGCTGAATCATTAACCAATGATAATACACTATTTAAACTACCACTGGATGGTGATCTGGCTAATTTTGTAAGACCAATTCCCGCGCGTACTATACGTTCCGAAATTGGTCGTTCAGAAGTAGGAGATACTGCTGAATCATCTTGTACAGATACAGGGCTTGTCATTTTTCCTATAAATAAATAATTAGTATATATTAAAAAATAATATATATTAATGTACAATTTATTAATCATCAATATATTAAAAAATATATTTCTTAATATATTTTAAAACAATTTTAAAACTACTAACTTGCATCTTGTAATGATAGAAATATTGTACAATTGTGACACATAACAGCTCCACAAAGTCTACAATGATGTTTTCTTCTTGCAACATGAAAGCTTTTTGCACAAGTAGGACATAATTTTACATCTTTTTCATCTATCCATGGCACAATAGTGCGTTCATGAACTATTGTAAAGAAAAATTTAATTATTTTTTTTTATGTTCATAAAAAAAATTAGAATTTTACCTTTTCTATCAACTGGATCAGATGGTAAATTATTTAATAATTTATCTAATCTTATAAGAAGTTTATTTGTTTCTGTAGAATATCGTTCCATTCTAGCATTTCTTATTTCTTTAAAATATTTTGTATGTGATGTGATTACACCTGAAAATTTTTAATCTATAATATATTTTATAGAATTATTTTTTTTAGTAATAGATTTATAATTCATTTTGAATTTTTAAAAATTTTTATTAATTTTTTTTTAAAATATTTTAAATTAATCTATCATTTTCTTCAATTTATTATTAATATAAATTTTTTATTTTTTGAGATAAAACTATTTTAATAATTTTACAATATAAATCAATACCTATCTCTTGAGATTCCCAATTAAGTTCTGGACTATACTGTCTAGTAGTTGATGGTATATTATTTGCAAAAGAATCTGATATTTCATCTTGTTTTAGAATCTTTTTCTTAGCTTTGCCAAAAAGATCTAGAAAAATAGAATGCTTTGAATTATTTTATTACATAAGTTGACACACTCACGTTTGTAAAATTCATAAAATATTTGCAATCTTTAATTCTAATAAATTAGTAAAATTTTAATTAAGCAATAATATATATTATTAATTATACATACCTTTAAGCGATTTTAAAATTTCAGGATCATCATTATGAAAATCTTCAAAATGTTTTGTTAATTGATTAGGTGTTTTGAAATCTGTCATACATATTGGACAAATAAATCCTTCTAATACTTCTTCGTTACCTGCCATTGTAAAATTTAATATTCACTATCTTTTTTGTAATTTTTTTCTATTTCATATATTACCATTCATAGAATTGGTAAATCATTTGTAGGCGTTTTTTCGAATTGTAGACGAACATTTTTCTAAGCCGCCATATTAAATTCTATCAGCTGATAGAAATGTCAATTTTCTGTTATGTATTCAAATTAATAAAAGATATATATTTTTTTAAATTAATCATTTGATCTATTTTATGCATAAAATTAGTTTATTTAAAAATAATTAATTTATCAATCAAAATTTGATTTTTAAATTATTTTTTATTATTTAGAAAGTTGATTATTATTTACTTATTTTTAAAGAAAAATAAAATTATTTAAAATTTTATAAATAATTTATAATAAATAATACAGTAATTGTATAATTAATAATAATAATTTTAATTATAATTTATAATTTATATTTCCATAAAGTTTTTATTCATAAATAAAACATTTTATATACATTTAATTATATAAATAATAAAAAACTTTTATTGCTTTACTGATATTTCAAATAATTTATCTCCTAAAACTTTAAATTCTTCCGAAGCTTCGCAATGTTGTAAAAGATTGTTACTAATTTTTTCTTCTCCATAAAATGCACCAGCAATAGCTCCAGTCATACTACCGATAGTGTCTGTATCACCACCTAAACTAATCTAAAAAAAATTTTTTTTTTTATAATAATAACTTTTAACTATAAACAATTATTCATCATAACATTAATCAATATTAATCATAACATATTTCAGATATATATATATATATATATATATATATATATGA